ATTGCACTTCTGGGAATCGGTTTATGGAGAAGCTGGGGGACCCTGTTCTTCAGCCTTGTATCATCTCAATGGTAAAATTAAAACTCTGGAAACAACCAAAATGCCTTAAAGCAGGGAGGGGAGGAACTACATGAGGCCACATTTATTGTAAAGGAAATTACATCACCATGAACATCATGATGGGAAGAATGAAAACTGTTCAAGTTAAACATTGTGGAATGGGTAACTCCTGTTTAAAAATGGTATATGCAGTGAGATTTCAAGTCTGGTTTAGAATTCTGGGCATGGAAGGAGTGAAGTACAGCAAGCACTTCACAGGCCCAGGCTCTGCAGGGAGAAGAGTGGGGAAGGGGCAGACATCAGAAGGAGAAGCATGGACACGGGTCTGGAAGAGGTGGGAGGCTGGGCCTGTGGCTGGTGGATGAGGGAGAAAAAGGGGCAGTCTCTAACCCCCAAGACACAGCCAGGTTGCAGCTCTGGGCCTTGTCCACTGTGTGTGAGTGCCTGCGGGCGGCTTCACTTGGTCCCAGGGCACTCCTGGGCTGGGGATCCTCCCAGGGTATCTCATGCAAGTCACTGTCAAATGGAATGAATGGCATCTGTCTGTGTGTCATGCGCTGCACTAGGATTTTCTTCCCTTCAATCTGATGTCATGGTTCCATGATTCCCAACCTACAGATGAGGGTGCCAAGGTGGGGAGGTCATTCTGCAGAGAGAGTACCATGCATGGTCAAGTGTGCAGAGCACTCCCAGCCTGCCCTGCAGGCTCTATCCAGACCTGGCTCTCTCAGCGCCCCAGGAGGTGCAGGAGGAAATGAGGAAATCTCAGTTTCTATTCTAGGTGGAACCTATCAGACATGAAGAAGCCCTCATATTGAAGACTGGTAGGAACACTGGTGGCCTCTGTGGCCACAGTGACAGTTCTTTAAATTCCAACAGGTTGCAAGTTTGTAGAGGCCTAAGTGGATTTTTACATTGATTTATGTAGTTTTTACTAAAATAACACTTATAAAGGAAACAGTGGCTTTTAAAGATTCTGCGGATAACATGAGTAACGCAAGCTCAGCAAACACGAAACAGCACAGCTGACACTCTTACTCCTGTGGGCTCTTCATTTTAGTCTCAGATGGACTGAATACTCAGACAGACCTGAAAATTGGGGAGAAAAGAAGGATATAGGCAGGAAGGAAGAAGGGAAGCAAAAAAGAGAGGTAGGGAAGGAAAGCAAAAAGGAAGGGAATTACTAAAAATAATAATGAAGTATCTTATTCACGTGTTCTATGGTTATGCATAAGCCTCTCCTTAAATGTACATTTTACTTTGAGATATTATTTATTGGTCATATGTGCTACAATAATTAACAAAACATTTAAGGGCTAGGCATCTACCCAGGATATAAAGACTCTCCTCGCCAGTTTTTTTTCCTATGATGTTTAAATTCATAAAATATTCAAGCAAAATGTTCCACAAAATTTCATTCTGCTTAATACTAAAAGTATTACCAAGCTTTTCTATTTTATTAGCAACAAGCAAAATGCCACTTATGTAAAAGAACACCACTCTTCCTGATGCATGTGTTTAATTATAAATCAGTAAACATACATATATTGGGGGTGAACACTCATTATTTCACTGATAAGTGTGCTTGGTCCATATTCCCACAGGGTCTTCCTTCCTGCCCTGAGAGTGTAGTGAGCTTATGAATATGTTCAATTTATCTATACAAGATGCCAGACAACTAGGACCCAACCTCATTAACCCAGTGACTACACATGAACATAACAAGCCTGGACTTTTTTTTGACAATTTCTCTTTATAACCCAGAAAATATTATTTTATTTTTCTTTTCCAAGTGACCCAGGATGGCAAAACTACCCCTGGAAGCCACACCTCCTTCTGCCTGTAGGGAAACTGATTCATGCCAGCTGACAGCTCTCAGCTATCCAAATGATTAGCTTCTGATGTAGTATTTGGACTTGCTGTTCACATTTAAAAGATAGTGACAACTGTGGTGCGTGACCTAGCTGCATTCAAGTATGGTGCTTCAGTCAGCAGCAGGCCTGTAAACCTACATCCTGACTCACGCAATCCAGGGAAAAAGGGCTCAGGAAATTCCTTGTTCTTCTACATTGGCTCAGGGAAGACTGCTGTCTACCAAAAATCCCTGGAAGAAAGGTGTCTTTTGTGGATATAGATGTTATTTAATTCTGTGGTTACTCCAAAGTTATGGTAGCAACATCTCATGCAATCCACTGTAAGTCAGAAAAGCCATTACCATTTTTGACCAATCTGTTCCAGGCATTTAACCATTATTGTTACTCCTTGGAAAATTATGCAAACTGTTCTGATGTTTCCATTTTAAAGATCAAAAGCTGATACCAGGTGCAGTGGCACACACTATAGTCTCCACTATTTGGGAGGCTAAGGTGGGAGAATCACTTGAGCCCAGGAGTTCCAGATCAGCCTGAGCAACACAATGAAACCCTAGTCATTAAAAAAAGAAAAAAAATTAATAAAAATAAAATGAAGAGTTAAAAAACTGAGACTCACAAAAGCTGAGTCATTTATTCAGGTTTCTAGAGCTCAGGACAAAGATTTGAATTAAGAACTGTCTGGTGTGAGACGATATCTCAATGTGTCAATCATCAAAAAATCTGGAGACAACAGATGCTGGAGAGGACGTGGAGAAATAGAAACACTTATACACCGTTGGTGGGAGTGTAAATTAGTTCAACCATTGTGGAAGACAGTGTGGTGATTCCTCAAGGACCTAGAAATAGATATACCATTTGACCCAGCAATCTCATTACTGGATATATACCCAAAGAATTATAAATTGTTCTATTATAAAGACACATGCACATGTATGTTCATTGTGGCACTGCTTACAATAGCAAAGACCTGGAACCAACCCAAATGTCCACCAATGATAGACTAGATCAAGAAAATGTGGCACATATACACCATGGAACACTATGCAGCCATAAACAATGATGAGTTTGTTTCCTTCATAGGGACATAGATGAATCTGGAAACCATCTTTCTCAGCAAATTGACACAGGACAGAAAACCAAACACCACATGTTATCACTCGTAGGTGGGTGTTGAATAGTTAGAACACGAGGACACAGGGAGGGGAGCATCATATACTGTGGTCAGTCATGGGGGAGGCTAGGGGAGAGACAGCGAGGTGTAGGGAGGGTAGGGAGGGATAACGAGGGGAGAAATACCAGATACAGGTGATGGGGGGATGAAGACAGCAAACCACCTTGCCACGTATGTACCTATGCACTAATCCTGCATGATCTGCGTATGTACCCCAGAACCTAAATTAAAAAAAAAAAAAAGAACTGTCTGGGACACAGTTTATGCCCTTTCCACTGTAACATGCTACTCCCAGAAGCTGGATGAATCTTTAGAAGGGTCCTGCATATTGTTCATTTAGAAAACATTTATTAAGCAACCACAAGTGCCAGCAACTGTCCTGGGGACTGCTGGTATGGAGGTGGGCAGAGAAGAAACAAGCACTCACAGATCTCAACTTCCACGGGAGAGACAGAGATGCATGCATAACAAGTTTGGAGAAGTGTCATGAAGAGAAGCTTCAGAGTGCAGTGAGGGCGGGTGGGGGAACACAGAAGAGAATTGATGCTGAGAAATCTGGGAATCAGCTGCAGAGGCGCCGTTCATGCTGAGACTTGAAGAATGAAAATAGGAGACAGCCAGACAAGAAAAGATGCAGTGACCACATCCTTTGGCTTTAGAAAACAGCTCATACTCATCATGTGGGTTTATTGTGCTGCTGTTTGTTTGTCTCTTGCACTCTAACGTGCTCTATTAAAACACAGTGGGAATTGATGGACTCCAGTCCTGATGATGAATGGAATACAGAGCATCAACTACAAAGGCATGGGCTCATTTACCGAATTCAACTAACTATCAGAAACCCTAGGTCTAAGTATAGCTCACCATTTATGACCTTCATGATTTGGGGTAAAGAAATTAGCCTATATGAGCCTCAGCTTACTCAACCTTAAAATAGGAATAATAAGTTACAGATCTTTGAGGAAACCAAATACATTCGATGTATAAAAGCTTTTGTAATGTGAGTTTTCTATGTTTCACCATCTTTTATGACTATTTATTATAGAGAAAACTTGTGATGGCTGCTATCTACTTGGGACCACACTGATTCATCACACACAAGATTGCCTTTCCTCCTGCATCACTAACCCAAGGAATCAGTTCCAACACACAACTGAATGTTCAGACTTTGACTTTTAAAGATTTTGTAAAATTTTAACTTGCAGCACTTGATTTTTTTAAAATCTGCAACACTTTATGTAAATAGTAGCAATGTAAAATTAAGCTCAAATACTGCCCACACAGAGAGCCAACCTCGAGAACCCCAAATAAAGCTTGCCTTAGGTTGGGTCACACAACACAGCAACGTACTCCCGGAGGAAATGCCTAATTCTGCCTGTTACTGAGTGTACTCCATGAAGAACCCACGTGGGGTGGTCTCATCCACCTCAGATCCAGTAGAGAGAAAGGTATGACCTGGGGGATGGGAGCTCACCAGGCACCTGTACCGTTCCCATGCTAGGCCTTCTCACATCACAGAGACCCAGCATGGGGCTAGAGGCTCCCAAACAGAAGCAGAAGGAGGAGGGCACCTCTACATGAAGAATTACAACCAGTAATCATCCACTATTAACAACTGTTTAAACACCGAATTATTCTGGATTAAAGACAGCAAGCTTCTCAACTATAAGCATGCTAAAAGATTGCCATTTCAGTTAAAGAACAATCATCACCTGTCAGGCATGTTAAGTTCAGTTACTATCAGCATAGTATCTACTACACTGCTAACCAGAACTTAAACGTAAATAAAAGTGCACATCTTCTCCACCTTCTCTCCTTTACCACATCTCTTCCTTTATTGTGGAATGGCCAAAAAAGCATAAATAATTAAAGCATGCTTCAGCTTTTTTCAGTACCTCTTCTAAGGTGGTGTCTGAGATCCCATAGCCTGTCAGGTGCAGCTGACACAGGTTCTCATCCAGGGCCTGAAAGAGCCCTTTGAAGCAGGCCTTGTCTGTGTCCTTTGGAATGGCGTAGGTCAGCTCACTTCCACTGCTATCTTTGAGAAACGCTTGTGAAATATGCATCCTGATCAGGGATGTAACACGAGCTATGTCTTTCAGATCATGGGCCTCCAGAACAGAAGGCTATCCACCAAAAAAAGGAAAAAAGAAACCAGTAAGGAATATCAATTCAAATTTACATCAATTCATTTCATGTAGATCCATAAGCAAATTATATCAAAACTCCATGTCAAAGCTTAAATCAAATATCACACTTAAACAATAGGCATTTCAATGATATCTTGTGTTTTTTTGTTTCTTTTTAAAAATATAAATCTGCAGTGATAAACCTGGTGAGGACATACCCACATGCCCCCTAACATGCCCATCTTGGCTACTGGGCATGCCATGGCCAGCCTCCTGGGGTTTGTATTCATGAAGTGCCCCCTATCCCCTGGCAGAGTCACAAAGAGGTCCTGGGCCTAGCATTGAACAGCAGGAAACTGGGTTGAGTCTTCTTAAAAGGGAGACAAGAATTCTCAGCCAAAGAAGAAAGGCTCCACCTGGGGATGGTGATATTCATGCTGAATTAGAGAGGAAGCAAACAGGAACCTTGGCTCAGAGCTGGGTGCAGACTTTTCGTGGGCCACCAAGGGTCAAATACAGTCATCAAGAGTGGAGAGGTGACTTCCCACACACCCGAATCCCAGCCCAAGAGTCACCACTACCTGACCTCCATTGACACAGGTAATGATGACTACAGATGTGACACAGGTTCGGCCTCTCAGGCCAGACTCCACTTGCTCTATCCCCTCCTTACTTTTCTGCATTCTGGCAAAGCTTTAGCCTCTAAGAGGGAATACCTTTGTCAGAAAAATATTTCTAGGCCAGGCACAGTGGCTCACGCCTGTAATTCCAGCATTTTTCGAGGCCGAGGTGAGTGGATCACCTGAGGTCAGGAGTTTGAGACCAGCCTGGCCAAAATGATGAAACCCCATCTCTACTGAAAAACACAAAAATTAGCCAGTTGTCGTGCCAGGTGCCTGTAATCTTAGCTACTCAGGTGCTAAAGCAGAAGAACTGCTTGAAACTGGCAGGCAGAGGTTGCAGTGAATAGAGATTGTGCCACTGCACTCCAGCCTGGGCAACAGAGTGAGACTCCATCTCAAAAAGAAAAAAAGAATAAAGGAAGAGAGAAAGAGATACAGAAGGAAAGAGAGAGAGAGAGAAAGAGAAAGAAAGAAAAAAGAAAAGAAAAGAAAAGAGAGAGAGAAGGAGGGAAAAATATTTGTAGAATACCTAGGTCATGTACTTCCTGGCCCTGACACTCACAGCAGCTCCTGTTACCTATCAGGTTATTCTGACCCGTCAGGTATTTTCTCCTAGTGGTCAAATGCATGCTTGGGTTCCCAGAGGCTTGCTCCCTGCACAGGCCTGGGGGCACTCATTTTGGCATATGGGCCATTGTGCACAGAAAGCACTGAGATGTTATTACTGTGTAACTGTCGCCACTTGTTTCCTATGCCACAGACAGGAATGGGACTTCCATGAGATGGAATGGCTGCATTCCTTACCTGCCTTGTGAGCGTCAGGTGGAGCCCCTGGCCATATGCCTCCTTCAGGCAAAAGGGAGGACCACAGCACCTGAGCCTCCCATGCTGGAGGACGGCCACACAGTCACTCAGCGCTTCGGCTTCATCCAGGTGGTGGGTTGTGAAGATGATTGTGCGACCTGGGTTCAAGCATAGGTGCATCAGAACCGGCAGGACAAAGACCCCAGAAGGACCTTCCCTCCTTTCCTCAGGATGATAGATCCAGGGCACAGTTAAGATGCTTACCAATTTCAAACAAAAAAATTAAAATGTGTCCAGCAGAAAGGACTTACTCAAGTCCACTTGGCCAATTCGAGGCTCTGAAACTCTTTCCTCAGCAGTTGTTTCCATGGATCTCCCACCCCCACCCCCATGAACCAAAGTGGGTGTTCTGCCAGGCATGGAGGGTAAAACTGAGGGCAAAACACAGTGCTTGTGCACAGCCCCCTGTTCTCTCCTACTTAGAGTCAGATCACTGAACGAACGGAGACAAGAAATTTAAAAACAAAAAAAAGCAGGGTGGGCATCTCTCTCCTCAGATACTAAAGTCATCATTCTTTTTTTTTTTTCCAGAGTCACTCTTGCTCTCTCACTCAGGGTGGAGTGTGCAGTGGCATGATCTTGGCTCACTGCAACCTCCACTTCCCAGGTTCAAGTGATTCTCCCACATCAGCCTCCCATGTAGCTGGGACTACAGGTGCATGCCACCATGCCAGGCTAATTTTTTTTTTCTGTGTTTTCAGTAGACACAAGATTTCATGATGTTGGCCAGGCTGCTGTTGAACTCCTGACCTCCAGTGGTCCACCCACCTCAGCCTCCCAAACTGCTCGGATTACGGGCATGAGCCACTGTGCCTGGCCCTCCTCATTTTCCTTTGGATGATAAGGGAGATGTATGTAGGGAGAAGGCTATATTTTATTAAATTGCTATCGAATAAGAAATCACAGCACTGAGTTAAGGCAGAAATCAATCATAAAAAAGAGATCTGAAATGGTCATGATATGCATTGATACCCTTTGGAATCAGGGATGAGGTAACCACACATATTTAGTCTTCAAAGTAGCAGCAGCAGAACACTCACTGCCTCCCTGGAAAAGCTTGCAGCAGCCATGACCCACAGAGAGGAAGGAGAGTATGTTGTGAGTGACAGGCACAGGGAGCCAGGGAGACTTGGTGTTTCCGGCAGGAGATTACTGAGCCCAGGGGCCATGGCCTCTTTTGGCAGAAACAAATACTAAGTTCAAATGTTTTCTCGAAGCATTCTAATATCTTGTCAAGTTGTATGACTTATGCTTGGAAAGAAAAAGCCTCAGCTTTAGCTTTGGGAGAGCATAAGCCAGAGGAACCAGAAGACATTTTGGTGAAGGTGATTCAGTTGCATTAAACAATGTTGCTGCTTTAAGCTTCGACATTGCCCATTGGCTTTCATTGAGCCCCATCCAACATATTCCATTCTATTGAATAGAAAGAAACACACTGATTGATTCTTGTTCCAAAGGTAAATTTTCAGAAAGAGAAGGCTAAACATGTCTTTACCTCTTTGCAAGTAAATGTCTGAGGTGGTGAATACACTAATTACCCTGATTTGATCATTACACATGTGTCAAAACATCACACTATAACCCATGACTGGAAAACAGATGGATCTCAAGGCCATCATGCTTAGCAAACTAATGCAGGAACAAAAAACCAAGTATCGCACGTTCTCACTTGTAAGTGAGAGTTAAGTGATAAGAACACATGTACACATAAAGGGAACAACACACACTGGTGTCTACCAGTGGGTGGAGGGAGTGAGGAGGGAGAGGATCAGGAAAAATAATGAATGGGTGCTAGGCTGAATACCTGAGTGATGAAATAATCTGTACAACAAACCCCTGTGAAACAAGTTTCTCTAAAGAACAAACCTGTACCTGTACCCCTGAATTTAAAACAAAAGTTAAAAAAATAAATCAATGTATGCAATTATCATGGTCAATTAAAAACAAAATACAAGTAAGAAATAACAATAGAGAAGACACCTTAAAAGACTAGGACTTTCATGTTTTAAAAATGTATTTACAAAGAAACTATGGAAGGTGGACCCAAGAGCAACAGAGCTTGAAGGTCCACAATGACCAGTTCTTGCCACATATGTGTCCCTGTCCCCAGGCCCAAGGCCAAGCTCCTTACATGTTATACCCTCAAGGCTAAGAAAATTTGCTTAATCCCTGATCTAGGATTAAAGGCAGTTTAGATACTCTGATTAGAGCTATCATGTAGTTCAGGTGATATATTCCCATACAATGTAGTCTAATACTGAAAGTCAACTCGAATCTAAATCCCCAAAAGAGAAGCAAAGAGTAGAATGGTGGTTGCCAGGAGCTGGCGGGCAGGGGGCAAGGAGCAGGGAGAAGGAGGGAGATGTTAGTTAAAGGATACAAAGTTTCAGTGACACAAGTGAATAAATTCTAGTAATCTATTGGGCAGCATGGTAACTATAGTTAATAATGATGCACTGTATACCAGAAAATTGCTGAGATTAGATCTTAAGTGCTCTCAACAACAAAAGGATAAGTATGTGAGGTGATGGGCATGTTAATTAGCTTGATTTAATCATTTCACAATGTATACATACATCTAGCCCTTGGTATCTGTGGGGCATTGATTCAAGGAACCCTGAAGTTACCAAAATCCCTTTGTAAAATGGGGTAGTATTTGTATATAACCTATGTGCATCCTCCCATATACTTTAAGTCATCTCTAGATCACATATAATACCTGCTAATAATATAATGTAAATACCATTTAAATAGTTGTAATACTCTTACTGTTTTTAATTTGTATTATTTTTATAGCTGTATTATTATTTCTTATTGTTTTTTTGTTTGTTTCTCCGATTTTTTTTTTTTAAGACAGAGTCTCACTTTGTCACCCAGGTTAGAGTGCAATGGCATGGTCTCAGCTCACTGCAACATCCACCTCCTGGGTTCAAGTGATGCTCATGCCTCAGCCTCCTAAGTAGCTGGGACTACTGGTGTGCACCACCACACCCGGCTAATTTTTTTGTATTTTTAGTAGAGACGAGATTTTGCCATGTTGGTCAGGCTTGTCCTGAACTCCTGCCCTCAGGTGATCCACCCCCCTCAGCCTCCCAAAGTGCTAGGATTACAGGCGTGAGCCACCATGCCCAGCTTCAAAGAGCAACGCTGCTGTTTTCCCCAAGACACTGCTTGACTGTTTCTCTCTCTGATTCAGATGATATGTTCTACCTACCCCCTTTCCTCCAAAAACTACACTTCCACATTCACCCCTTGTCTATTTTAATAATAATGATAACCTGTCATTGATTGAGTGCCCACATGGCAGATACCGAGCTGTGCACTTTCACATACAACTGTGCACTCTCACATCCTGTGAGATGGTACAATTCTCTCTGTTTGCAAATGAGAACACTGACTCTCAGAAGCATTTGATCATTTCTGCAGGGTTGCATGGGAATTGTAGAGCAAGTGCATTCCCCAGGACAGAAATTTAGTTGAGATGTGCCAGTTTTCACTCGTATCTTTTGCTTCCTTATTTATTTTTCCATGGGAGACACAGAAATACTGGTACCAGGGCTGATCAAGAGCCCTCACTGTACATAACTAAGCAAGAAACAGACACAACATTCCAGGTAGACCGAGCCCCCAGTACACTGGCGTTCTGACAGAAGAGTTCTTTCTTCTCAGCAGGGAATGTTTGTTTCTGCACAGTCCTCAGATCTGCCTCACAGAGCTGTATGATTACCTAGAGGTTTGGGCTACTTCAGAAACAGCTATACATTTTGATTCTTGAAAACACATTTTTCTTCCAATACCGCCTATCTAATTGCTTACACGCTATTGATTTTGCACTTCAATCAGTACCGGGACGATTCCAAAAATTCTCCAATGACAAAAAACATTGCTAAACAATGAAGAACACTGAGAAAACATTTGGTTTAAAACAACAGAAACTGAAGAAAACTCTCTGTTTCTGAGACTTCCATTGTATCTATTTTTCTGTCTAAAATAACCTTTATGCTGATTACAAAAATATTCTGTCAGCTAAACCTCTGAGACTCCATCTCTAATTTTTAAACTAAACAAGAGTAGTGGGCTTGCGGTATTTAATTTGAACTGCAAAGCACAGTTGCAGAGATAATGTAATCTATTTGTCTATCTCCCACTGATCTTCTGCATCAGCCCCCAGCCAGGGTAGCAGGTGAATTATTTAGTCCAGTTTAAATTGTTTCATCTCAAAATTTAATCAGTCTTTTGAAGTGGTGGTCAGTGTCCCATTTCTGCCTTTTCTATGTCTTTCCCCAATGGAGCCAGGAGTCTCGGTGATCTCATGGGAATGGGGAAGAGCTCGAATCCTGGGTGCAATGTGGTCAGCCTCCTCTGGTGTCTGGGTGCTAAACAAGACCACTTGGCGCTGTCCTCCTTCTCACCTTGGCATTTGTGCTTTGAGTCCAAAGGGGTCAGGCCAGAACAGAGTGCTCCCAGGCTGCCTAGGCCTCACAGTAGGTCCTGCTGACTACAGATGGCTGAATCTCTGCCCTGGCTTCCAGCCAGCTAACGCCAAGGGACTCCCTCCTTCTGTGGCAGCATCCCTAGCAAGCCCTGCCTTTCAGTGTCAAAGTTCATGGGCCTGAAAATGTAGGGAATACCAGCCCTCGGTACCTTACTGGGTCCTGGCATTCTGCTCAGTCTCATGAACTCTGATGTGGCTGCACCATGATTGAGTAGCCAGCTACCAAAAGTGTAGCCAGCAAGCTACACTGTTTGCCTGCACTTTTCTAGTGCAATTGACCAGGCCAGGCCAAACCCCAGAATGGAACAAAAAGCCACATCTGCTTGCTCAATTTCCCCACCTCTATCTGTGTCTTCTCCTTCCATAATTCCACCAAATCTGTGGGACAGAAAGAAACAAATTGTTCTTCTATGTTCCCTTTAGTTATTTTATTCCTGTCGGATTCCAGCCTATGATTAAGCTTTAAATGACAGACTGCAGTATATTTTCTACTCCAAAGATAGAATTTGATGGTCCGAGACTTCTGGGCTCAGCCCTCTAAATGCTAAGAAAAGGAAGGGCTCTTTCTTGTTATTTTTCATTTTATTTCTTCATTTGCAAATCCTAGTTCACCTCCAAAAAAATGGAGGCTTTAGGTCAAATCAGAAGAAAGTTTTATATTCAAAAGGCAAAAGAAAAAGCAAAATAACATTCTATAAGAATCTGTATTAATCCTGCCACTGATGCCTCTACACTTGTTTGCCAGCACCAAGATGTGATTTATTGTTGCAATGTTTCTTTCCAAAAGGCAGTTCTCAGAGAAAACATGTAGAGCAACACTTCCTAGCTGTCAGGATCGCAGAAAGAATCAGAAGTTGGAAAATAGTAACTGCCCATTAAATGCCCTAAATTAGTAAGAAACAATAATAGATGTGAGAAATATTAACCAGAGGCTCAACGTCCACCCTCAGTTCAGGAAACTGCCTCTGTAGCTGCGAGTAAATCACATGCCCATCTCTCTGAGCCCTCATTTCTTCATCTGAGACAAGGAAGTCTTGTCCTATAATCTGGGTTGCCTCTTCTAAGGAACTATGCTTCCCTTGAAAAGGAAGACAATTTCCCTTGAAATAATGTATGTTAATGTGTAATGTCCATAGATGTCACTGCTGTTATTAAGAGTTCAAACACAAAGTAAGCGATTCTAAGCACTATAGAGATGTTATCTAATGAATATGCTCCTAGCAGCACTTCTAAAAATGTATGTTTTTCTGAAAAGGATAATGTAGCCTCATTGGGATACACCTTGGTTCTACCATACAATAGCGATGCATTTCCTGAAACACAACATTGTGGGAAGAGAAAATAGAAGAAGGCCCAGTGCCTACCTTCTCGGTACTTGAGCAGGATATCCCACACGCTGTGCCGGGAGCAAGGGTCCACCCCACTGGTGGGCTCATCCAGAACCACAGTCCTCGATGTGCCCAGGAAAGCAATGCCAATGGAGAGCTTCCTCTTCAGGCCTCCAGACAGAGCTCGGGTCTGTTTGTGCTGATGCTGAGTTAAGCCCACCTCCTGAAGAGTTCTGAAATTAGAAGAAAACATCACTCTTCTCCCTGAACACCTGAAAGCTTTGCTTCTAATTTCTCTCCAGAAATAATGACTAACAGTGGCTGAGATCGTTATAAACCACAAATCTAACAGGGAGGCCTGAGGCTGCACACATGTGAGTCTCACCAGAGCGGCACTGACCTTCTTTGGGTTCAGATGGAATCATGCCAAGGGACTAACCGTGATGCAGACCAGCAATACCCACCAAGAACTGTGCTTGGAAATACTTGCACTGTCTCCTCTCTGGAGAAGCATGTCTCTCATTTCACTCATAGCTCCTGCCAAGGAAGGCCCTGCATCCCTCTACAGGGTATAGAGTATAGTGGAATGGCTGATGCACCAGTGTGGTCAAAAGAAGCAAGGCAGGCCCGGCCCCACTGCTCACCAGAGAAGCCCTTCATTCCCTGACCCTCTGTGCACTAAATCTGGATCACCCCACCTTCCTGATTAATGCAGGTGTTCCAACAAAATGCCATGTGCAAAGTACAAATTATCATTTGCTAATAATGTAAGAACAAGTCTCCTGTTCTGTTGCAGGGATCGTTCAGTCTTGGGAGTTCCAGATTTCAGATACCCAGCATTAGGCCTTCCCTATGTGAAACTTTACCCCTCTTCCATGGATCTACTCTCTTTTTTCACAAAAACTTCCCTCACCACTGTGCCCCTGTTAACTCTACAGGAGCGCTTACTGACCTCATCACCTACTTGCCATCTTACTCATTGTTAGAGACTCAGTTTAAACAATGTTTTCCTGAAACCTTCCCTTGACCACTCAGACAAAAGTGGAGTCTCTCGCCTAAGCTGCAGGCATGTTTCTGCCTTCCTGATACCAAGCTGCTGAAGTCAAGGTGCCATTCTGCAGCCAGAGAGAGGAGGCTAGACAGGCAGAGGAGGATTGGACTGGTTACATATAGTTGAGTTTTAAGAATAATTGGGGCCTGGAACATTCCAGCATCCCAAGCAAAGAACTGGGTGAATCCCATTGTCTGCCTGATGACTAAGTAAATTTTTCATGTAAATACTTCCCATGCTGCCCTAGAAAGAGTTCAAGCCCACTTCTCAGTGTTTAGTGTTCACTCTAGGCACTTAATGTTTCATCCAAGTCTTACAGTGCATCTTCTGCTAGTTAAATCTCAACCTAAATTTATAGTAGGAATTTATGCTCCTGCTTTTCAGGTGTTCCCAGTGTGGACAACACCCTTTTGGAAGGAGGAAGACAAATGTTTCCATTTCACCAGGCCCTGCAATCTCCCAACACGCTCCCAGCTGTGTGATTCCAATCTAGAAGAAGAGGTGGATTTATTAAGACAAACTTAGCACATTAACCAGAGGTCAGTCAGCAGAGAAGAAAAACAGACAAGAAAACAAGTCAGTAAGATGTCATATGTTGTCAAACATGCATGTTCTGATTACCTTTCTATGTTCAACTCCAAACCCCTCCTTCATTTCTTCCATGGGCACCACTCAGGCACTCAGATGTCTATAGTACCGTCTTGGGTGGCCCCTTGCTGCTGCCTCATTGTGCACCCTAATCAAGCTGGAAGCCCACCTCCTCTTCATACACCTAGCATTAAGCCTCAGGAACGCTTTTGGCCCCCTGCCACTTTGTCCCCACCTTTGCAGTCCTTCACAGAACCTTCACTACACAAGTGTCAAGCAAGATGTAAGCAAAAGGGACCAACCATGATTCTACAATCAAATTTATGCAAAGAGGCTGGGGCCTGCTGTCTATTATATCTTATGCAACTGGTTAGCATTCAACTGACCAATCTGGTTCACTCTGTATTCTTACTTCTGTTTTCAGTACATGCCTGTTTTTCTGATGCACTTTGAACTTCAATATACAACACATTTTATGGACAACTTTGCTCCCAATCTTTTGTATGTATATGTGTGTGACTTTGAAGCTTCCTGAAACCAAGAGTGGTAGGTAATCATGACAGGTGTAGGAGTGATGATGAGCCTCTTTCATTCACATGTATTTTATAAATTCTTGCAAGATTGCACAAATGGTCTATTGCATCAAAGATGCTGGTTGCATATCACAAATAAGGGTAGGGGCATCAAAGAGCAACAAAGCACAGGTCCTTCTGCAGAAAATAAGAGTTTTGTAGAGAAATCATGTGTATATATCCAATTAGAACACAATGAGAGAAATGTTACAGATGACATATAAACAAAGTGCTGTGGGGAGCTCACAGGAGATGGTGAATTATTGGTCTTGGAGAGGTCCAGCTTAAAGTAGAACCTCTATCACATCACAACAATGCCATAGAATATATTATTTTAAAGAATATCATTCATTCATTTTATAAACTCTTTCCCACAGAGGAAATCCCACCTTTTTATTTTATTGTTTAAATGTTAGCTCCTGGCCTGGATAATCATATTTAACATTGATTAGACCTATATCTACACAATAGGTACTATTCTAAGTGCTTTGAGTATATACATTAGTATAATCCACATAACCTCCAAATGAAGGTCTTCTTGTTATTGGGACCACATTACATTTGGAAAACCCAAGAGAAAGATAATATATATTATAAAAACCTCTCTAAGTGGAGGAGTTGCATTTAAACACTAGCAGTCTGAAGCCAGAATAAACACTGACATCCACTGGGTCCCTGTGACATGCATCATATGCCCGCTAAGTGTGTCACTCCTCACATGGACTTGGGCTCTCCCAAGAACAAGCTCTTTGTCTTATTAGGTCTGTTTTCCCAGAACCCCACTCATGGCATTTTAATCAGTGAATATAATATCCATGAAGGTCAGTGTAATTAAGAGTCCTTGTCTTATTTTGCACAGAATAACACATTCCTAGGACTCCAAGCCACTGATGCATTGGTCCGGGCCAGTACAACAATGTCTGAACACCCATCATTGCAGCAGGGAGAGAACCCTATTGCAAAACCCAGCCATTTCCACTCTGCTGGCTTCTGGGCATTGTTCGGATGCTCAAAGCACACTTAAAAATTAAAGAAGACAGCAATTTGTAAACACTGTCAGAAGTTTTTAACCTGTTGAAATTTTTTTTAATTTGAAAGTTTTTCAGAGGCTAGTGTTTTTCTAGTTATTGATCTTATACCAAAAAGAAGCAAATAATTTTGCAAAGTTACATTTCCAAATTCTCAAAAGGACAGGATAATCCTCTAATTGAGAACATTGCTAGGCAGCAGGGAAAGGAGGAAAAGATATTTTCTCCTATTAAGTCCCAATTAGGCACCAAAGAACTTGTTTCAGATGCTGCTCTTTAATCATCCATTCATTTATTCAAGGAATGTTTACTGAACCCCTACAATGCCTGGTACCTGCCACCTGCTAGGTATAGAGAAATAAATCGAATCTTAACCTTGATTCAAGAAACTCAAGGTCTTGTGGAAAAGACAGGCAAGAAATTATAATAAAAGTATAAGTAGGATAATGATGAAGTCCCAAGTGTTACCGGATTCCCTCTGACTCCAGAGAAAGTGGCATATGAAATCAGTCAGATGGGTAGTGAGAGCAAGTGAAGTGGGGATACTTGAACAGTATGTTCCGGAAAAAAAGAAAAGCATTTGCTGGGACTTGGGGGAGAAAGAATAGCATATGCAAGAAACAAAGAGATTCTGTCCTTGAAGTACAGGGAAAACCATGCAATAACCTCAGACAAGACAGGAGAGAGAGGCTAGAGCCAGAACTCATACCCATTGTAAATCCTGTTCTATAACTGCTGGTCTTTCCTTCACTGAGTCTCCATGAGGGCAGGTGACTCTTTTTGTCTCACTGTGACCTTCCCTACCTCTGTTAAAGCCCCCAGCCTTGAATGTCAGGTCATCTAAGCATATCATCCACTATTGGGTAGTGGTGTCATTGTTGTCATCTACCAATCCCTGAGTCTGCCCTTGTGCACTGTCTCTTTTTCAGCCCTACTCTCGTCATTGTTCTTAGAGATTTTATTTGTATTTGACGTAGTATATCCTTCCTTCACTCCACCAATCCCATTTACTCACAGCTGTAATACATCCTAGACCTTGTAATTTCTAACAACCACAGCTCCTCAATTCCAGGCATCCTCTTTTGACTAGTTAACTTTATAATCACTTCTGAGCATGCACTCTTCATTTTGAAAAACAATGAAGCTGAATGGAAACTCTCACCAACACAGCCTTTGCCTTTTCTATTGTAAAGGAGCCTGCTGTGCTCTCAGAAAAGACAACCCCTTGTCTCTTGTCTAGATTCCTTTCCCTGTCCCATAGAGAATAGTGTTCCAGCAAGCCACCTTCTATGTAGCTCAACTCAATTATCCACTCTCTACTGGGGCATTCTCATCCGTGTACAGATAGGCCTCTGTTATTCCTGTCTTTGAATTATTTGAATGGAAGAAGAGCATTTTTCCTCTTGACCTCACTTTTCCTTCTTGACACCATCATATTTCTTTGCTCTTTTTTGCGGAAAATCTCCTGAGAAGATACACTGCTGCCAACTTCCCCTCTTCCATTCTCATTAACTGACTCCAGCAAGACTTCATTCCCTTCACACTTCTACACTTGCTCTTCTGGAGGTCACTAGAGCCCTCTACACACTAAATCCAAAGGACATTTTTTGAGTCTTCATTTTACTTGACGTTCAACAGCATTTAAGGTATTGATCACTCCCTCACCGTTAGTGAACTTGATTTACTTGTCTTTCACCTTTGCTACTGGTTTCTCTTTCTTGTCTGCTTGACTGGTTTCAACCCATCTCTCCACACACTGCATGCAGGAGTGACCAGGGATCAATACTTTGTTCCCTCTTCTACTCTTCCTGAACTTACGCCCTCAATGATCTCATTACTATCAAACAAATGTGCCTCCAACCTGAGTTGCATGGTGAACTCCAGAATTCTAAGTGATAACATTAACTATATAACAACATCACACTGACTTAAAGGTCTGACAAAGTTCCTCTCTTGACTACACTAATCTTCTCTGGGCCAAATTAAGGGCAAAA